GGTCGTCATCTTCCATAAACCTTCTACAACGCTTTGTGAACCTTCTTGAGATCCTCCATGAACTGTTCAAAACCCTTTAGAATCTGTGATAAACCCTCTACAAACCCTTCATAAACCTGAGGTAAACCACGAGACCCAGACCAGAGGCCACAGGACCACAGGGGGGGCGGGGGGAAGAGTATATGAACCCTCTACAAACATTATAAACCTACTCTAAACTTTTATTTAGACCACAGGCCACAGCACCACGGGGGGGGGGGTCACGAACCCTCTACAAATACCACAAACCTTCTCTAAGCCTAATTTAGACACAGGACAACACCCAGACTACAGGCCACGGGGGGGGACCTTTTCTAAACCGTAATACAGGACCAGACCCTGACCACAGGCCGTGGAGAGATTCCCAGCGGGGGAGGGTGGTGGAGGCTGGCGCATATATACCCCTATATATCCCCTTTTAACGGGCCTAATTATTGGGTACTTGGACTTTTAGGAATCTACAATGTCAAGCTATCAAGCTGAGCTTGCTGCTGGCCAGACGCCTGCCCCAACATGCCTTCCTTGAGCCCAAAACTTCAGCCAAATGCCAACAAATTGGGGTTGCCATTATACATCACCAGGACAAAAGTTTCGACATACCAGGGTACATCTTGTAAGTATCTTTTAGCGCGGAGAGATTTCCAGGGCCGAAGGTCCGTTTTATGTGGCCAGCGTGGCGGAGTAATTATGATCCGGGAATACACTTATGCTATTATAAAGTTCCCGGCGGAGAGCCTAAGCCAGGAGTGTGCTAGGAGTCTACGGGGGAAAGGGGTTGTCCTTGCCGCCTATAGTGCATTGTACGCCGGTGTGGCGAACTTTTGTCCTACCGCAGTAGTATAATAGGGTTGTATTGGGGTCATATAGGGATGATGGAAAATCAAATGGAAACTATTATAATGGGTTATACTGGGGTTCTTCTCCCTATTGCCATCTCATCCCCTCGTTTTGAGACTCCCCTGATCCATCAAATCAATAAGCCCGCCGGCCCCACGGCAAGCAGCGCGAGCAAGTAGGAGCTTCCCAACAGCTACGTGGGGGCGGGGCCACGGGGCTCAGGATTTAGGGTAACCAGGGACCTGTGTGCAATCATGTATATACAGTTACACAACATCCACCATGTACATACATCTGTGTTGGGTTATTCCCCCTTACAGTAACGGTTACCACAAGGGGTAATAGGAATTATAATAGCCCCTTAATAAGGCCCCCTTTAAGGACAGTTACTGGGTGGGGGAATGACCCAACATCTGTGTGTAAAATACGTAGTGAACCCCAGAAAAGGGCCGGGGAAGGTGGGAATCTTGAGGCTTCCATGGCTGCAGTCAAGGCAAAGTGTACTGAAATCACGTACTGCTCCCAGATTAGAGTTGGGGTAATATTGGGATAATGGAAAATCAAATGGAAACTACTATAGTATATTGGGGGTGTATATGGATAATGGAAAAGAAAATGGAAGCTAAACCTAGAGATGAACCTAACTTGGGCCTTCTGAGGCGGGGAACGTTTGACAGAACATACCCGCCTGCAAAAACTGCTGCTTGTGTGGATGGTCGCGCTCAAGAAGACGCAAACAACAAAACCCCTCAACCCCACGCCACGAGCTTGTGGGGCTGCTTAAGAACCACCCATCAACTCTGCAAAATGAAGGGTTACTTGAACATTGCCTAGGTTAGGATCAATCCCGCCCCCTACAATAACAGTCCCTACTAATTCCTGTATGAAGCCTTCGTACACCTACAATAACCGACTGTTAGTGGGTATGGGGGCTGAACCAAAAGCCCTAAACCTAAGGCATAAGGCTGTCGTCTAAGATGAAATACAGCCTGCGACCTGCGCAATCCTTGACGCCCTTCTAAAAACTGCCAAACCCTACATTGTAAATCCCAAGCCCAAAACCCATATCCTAAACCCCCACGACCTACCCTGCCCCAGAAAACCCTACCACATCAGAGCAGTAATCCCTGAACCTCTAGGCTTATACATACCCAGCACCTTTAGCCCTCAGCTGCTAAGCCTTCGAAAACCATGAAGCTTGAGGCCTCACACCTAACCTCTCACCCTTGACATCATCCCTGAAACCCTGAACCCTCGACCCCTAAACCCCTAATCCTCCACCAGACCCTCCTAGGGCTAAGATGGGACAAACCCCGAACCCTAAACCTCAAACCCCTCACCCATACATAAAACTCTCAAACCCCAAAAAACCCTAAACACTAAACCCTAAACCCCTAAACCCTAAACCCCAAACTCTTAGGGTTCAGGGTTTAGGGGCCAAACTCGGAGGGAGGTGGAGGGAACTTTGCCTGTCTTAGTGACTGCACTTATACACCCTGACAGCTGTAGAGTGACCCCAGTTTGGGGTTTAGGGTTTAGGGTTTGGCCCCCACGATTAATCTACAAAGTCCCATCTTACCCTCCGAGAAAGAGCAGTTTCCCAAGATAGGGGGACTCCTATATAGACCCCATAATACCGTCGTCCTGAGTATTGGGACCCCGAAAAGCTTACTGAAGCTCAGCACTAGGGAATAAAGGAATATAATTTTACACGGGATTCTACACTTAACCCTCAACCCTAAGCACCTAAACCCTAGATATCTGTCTATCTATCTACGTATAGATAGACATATATAGATAGGTGTGTGTGTGTGTATGCATGTAATCCCTTGTTCCCTGCTAACCACCAGTACTTGGAGGTCCATGGGACTTAGTAACTACTTGTACTTGGGCTGATAACCCTACTTCTAATCACCCCAAATGGGCTTATAGGGGCTACTCCAACTATAAATAGGGTCATAATCCCAGTGATAAGTAGTTACTAAGTGCCATGGGCCTCCAAGTAAGCCTCACTGAGACGAGGTCCAGCCGTTGGACTCCGTCGCCTTTGTCAAAAGATGGCCTGCCACCTGAGGGCTTAGGATTTAGGGTTTAGGATTTAGGGTTTAGGGTTTAGGATTGAATCCCCTTCCCCTAAATACTTGGAGGGTCAGGGGGACTTAGTAATTGGGTTAATAATGGGGATAAGTAGGGTTACTATATGGGTTATAGGGGTTATTAACCTACTTACTAAGTCTCCCTGACCCTCCAACGACTCAATCCCCCAAACCCCCCAAACATTATAGTCAACCCTTAAGTAGATAGAATACGGGGTATATCGGGATCTTATTCTAATATACCCAAAGCCATATTCTATCTACTTAAGGGGGGGCTGAACAAGTATTCCCAATATGTTATGATATGGAAGTATTTCTAGTTCTGGCATTTAATATGTAGGGGGAAGGGATTAGGCCCTTAGACGGTATAGTCAGAATAAGAATACGAGAATAATCATGATAGTAATAATCAGGCTAGCGATAATAACACTTGGGAATTTGCCTGGACCTCCTAAATACTTGAACCCCATCATTATGGGTATATAGTAAAAGGCCGCTTTCAATGGGTATGTGGAGGTCTAGGTAGGGCGGCACGGCTGAAGTTCCAGCGCTCGGTCAAATAGCCCGTGTTCCAGGACAATATGCTGATGCACCTTTCTTTCGCCGGAAAGTTGTCTGCCAGCATCTGGGGTCGGCGGCATCACCCCAATCCTACCATGTTGTCGCGCGAAGATTGACGTGTGTCAAAAGATCACGCTGCACATGAAAGAAGCAAAATGGAATTTGCAAGGGTTAAATAGTTGGCGCCCGTATCCGTTGCATATTAGCAACTGCACTGCGTGCACAACGGGGTCAATGCTTGTTGTCACTGAGCTTGGTTTGACGCATGGCGCATGCCGCATGTACGCTTCACAGCTTCTGCCGTCGAAGCAGCGCAACTTCTTCAAATCGCTTCATGCTGCACCGCAAATAGGCCTGCAAATGGAGCAAGGCGCTAGATACTGACATTTTCGCAGGCAATCGTTGTTGGTGCTCCTGGTTACAATGTTCCGGCCGGGATAAGTTGTGCGGTACCAATCGAGAAACTTTGGCCAAAACACCGGGTGAGGAGTACCGTCTCCGTAGACGACGCGTCGCAGGATATAGCTACCCACTCGGTCCCACTCGTCATCATTGATGAACCTCATTGGGAAAGGATTATCACCAAAAACGGCTCCCGCAACTGGTCGGATTTCGGCATATGTCTTGTTGAAGAAGAAGAAATCGTGAGTTGCCTCTGCAGAGGATGTGAACGAATAGAAAAGCATGATGCCCCGCCCCAAGAAGTTGTCAGACCAGGACCAATGGCCTGCCAAGCTGGAGGGGTTCTTCACAGTCGTCGGATAGGGCGCCATGCCCTGTGCGCCTGCAAAGGTCACCAGCTGCTCCGCAGTTAGAGGATTGCCATCCATCCACCAAATCCCTGTGAGATTGAGCTCCAATGCAGGATCCAGAAACATGTTGCCCCGAGTCCCTAGCTCGAAAGGTGGCAGGACACCAGCTGCGATGGCATTTGCTGGGAGCATATGCTCAGGAGGTGACGAGCGTGTTGCACACTGCGTTGTCAGCATGAAGAAGAGGACCCAAAGCAGGAGACCCATGACAGTACAGAGGCAACAGCCGCAGCACCCGCGCATTCCTGAAAAGCCAGAACAGCACCCCGAGGAGCTCTTGTCAACGAAGACCACATCCTGTCGCGCCAGGAGCGACTCCTCATCGCTCTTTGTCATGGCTCCTTGCCGCAAAGCTGCGCCTGTGCACAAGCCTTTCTACCAGACCAGGGAGCCAAGCTTGAGCCATTTGTTTAGTTTGTCCGGATCTAGGATCTGGCGCCAACAACTGGCGGGTGCTAGAATCCATCTCTGGATGTAGAAAGTTTTTCAATGGAATATGTCCATCCCCTTCAAGACTTGTATGGGGATGATTCGGGAAATTCCCGTTTGGGTTGGACTATGGCATGTTGGAAGTACATGGGAGGACTGTGATGTCACACGCGCCCAGATCTATGCCCTCGAACAAGTAGACGACGGCCTTGGGGTGTGGGTTTGCGGTCCACTCACGTATATCTATGTCAGGGCTTTCGGGGGCAGATATGTTTTAACCCCAAACCCGAAACCGCGCACTACTCCCAACATTCACCTTGCTTGCCCTTTCTTGACAGCACAGCAGGAGCATAACACGAAGAAGAAGAAGAAAGACATCCTCACGGTTGTTGCTCTGCATGGTTCCGGACGAACATGTGGTGGGGGCAGTGGTAAGTGGTATGAGTCATATTTCATCTTGACAATTGCAGTAGACAGAGCAGTAGCAGCAGTAAGAGTGTAGAAAACACCCTAAACCCTAAACCCTACACCTTAAACCGCTCCACGTTAGCAGAGGTCAGGGCCCATGACCCGCGGGAAGATCTCCATGTCTGTGCCTTGAACAAAAGAGGGTACAAAATCTGCCAAGGGATGTTTAGGGTTTAGGGCTTAGGTCGGAGCAAAAAATCAAAATAGAATCTATGAAATCTACTTGAAATCCTCATACCCCCTTTCTTGGGATAGAAGGGAATCCAGACAGTCTTCTGGTTCAAATCTTCATGGCTGATCACTTCTTACAGGATTTCCCGAGGCGGCCGCCGGTGTCGTGCAAGTCGAGGCCTTGAAGCATGGGGGGTTTTCTGAGAAAGGGGTAGCGGCCGATAAGGATTACGAAAGGATTGCGGTGTACCCGTTGCTTACTCGGGGTCAGTAGGCAATAATAAGGGAATATATTCTATGAAGTTGAAACTGCAACATGCTTGAAAAGTTGGCGAGCTGAGGCAAACTATGCAAAGTCAAAGCACAACAGCAGGCAAGTTGTTGCGGACAAGATATCTGCGTTAGGTGGACGCCCCCACCCTGTAATAGTGGCATAGTAGGAGTATGAGAGGACGCTGATATAATCGCTTTTATCCCTTATAGTCACTATTACAGGGTGGGGAGTCCACCTAACATCTACGCTACACAACCCGCAGCATTGATCTGGGTAGCTCTTAATTAGGGTGTATCAGCATTATGCTGAGCTTAACTCACTCAAAATGCTGATCATGATGAAAGTGGCAGGCTCTGAATATGAGAAAGCAGGAGAGCGCCTGTCCCATCTGGATCCAGTTCCTCTTTCACCTGCTAGGCACCACGCATCAACATCAGCAGCCAGCTGGTAAAACATGCTTCCCTATCCCTTCTAAGGGATTTGATGGGGTGCTGTAGGGTTCTATAGGGTTCTATAGGGTTCTATGGCGACATATAGGGTAAAGGGATACTATACCAATAATGAAGAACCTAAGGTAAAAGAACATTGAAATGAAATGGAAACTATGTAGGGGAGTATTGGGGGAGTATGCAAGGCAGGGCCTAACTAATTGCCGATGTTTACACTGAAGTATGGTCATACACGGAATCTAGGGCTAGAATATTGACAACTTAAACCCTAAACCCTTACTTAGGATTCTACAGTACTGGGGAGCCGTTCTTCCCTATCTGAACTCCTTCTCAAGTACTTACCGTAGGAGTCTCTTTCTCCAAGATTCCAAGAGGAATAACACCTGTAGAGTCGCCATATACATTGTTTATGTGCAACCACAACACCACATAGAAAAAAAATGTTACAAAAGCACGCCCCTAATGCAGACTGCCAACCGGCACAATCTCCTAGATAGAAGGACCCCTGCGAGGGCGTATCATCTCCTGAAAGCATCTCAGTCAGACCTCTTGTTAATTCAAGCTTCCAGACCTGGAACCCTAAACACGAACTCCACGCCACAAATCCTAAACCTTACCCTAGGTACCCATGTATACAGATAATGCTTACATCGGGCCCTAAATTCTGTAGATATCATCCACATTAGGCGATTTCGATCCCTAGGGTTAGAGTATTCTCAACCCTCAACTTACTTGTGGTTAGTAGGGAATAAGAGAAAAAAGTCCCTCCAACATATTCCCTTCCTCCCTACTACCCCCCCAGTAACCTTAGACTACTCTCAACCCTCAAAAAACCATGCTGGCAAGACCCGTCGCACAGCCGCCATGAATCGTCGGCTTTCGGGCTCGGGCACGGTTCCAGCCTTGGCTACGGCATCGTAGGCTCACTTGCATGTTGCTTTAGAATGGCGTCCCTTTGGAGGATTGTAAAAGCACCTGCCGAGAAACGCCCATTTCTAGGGAGGCTGAAGAGGTGATATGGAACACATGTGACGACTGACAAGGCTCTTCCGGGATCTCGTTAGTGGCGGGACCCATATCGTCCAAAGTCCATCGAGTATGTACGCAGGATTCAGGGTCCAGGGCCGATTACTTAAACCGAAACCCCAAAGGCAATGATACAGTTCCAGCCTGGGCGCACACTCTATCCATGTAAGAAGTCTTTGGGGGCTTAGGGTTCAGGGTCTAGGGCGTAGGTCTTAAGGGTTGTCACCCCAAGAATAATGAAGAACCAATGGAAAAGGAAATGTAAACTGGATTGTTATTATAGTTTCCATGAGTTTTCAACATGTGAAAGTCCCTTTTGTTCCACATGGCACACGCAAAGTCATCTTCTCTCTTGTATTGGACACAAGACTAAAAAAGGGCGACAGGGTTCTCTGTATTTCCCCGAAAGTGATGTTTTCTCTGTTCATGTACGGAACCCCGGGTGATTGGTTGCCATGCTGGAGGCATGGCTGCCGGACTGAAGGAATTGGATATATACTTCTATACTTTTATGTATACCTTTACATCCTCATATACCTCGCTACACATGCCCCTGCACACCCCTACAATGTAGTGTCAGTTGGAACAACACCTAAAGGCTTCAGGTTCTTGAGGGCGCTGGGCACGCTGCCGGATCATTTCTGGCCATGGTAACCTGGCTAAGAGAACGAAATCATAACAACTTCTATACGTAGACTTACTGGTTATTCGTAGGGAAAAAGGGAATATACTCCCCATACAATATACTCGCTTTTTCCCTACGGACTCCCAGTAAGCAGAAGGCCCAAACCTGAAACAATGGCACATCTAGCGATGAGGACAAGGAAAAAGCCAGTAGAAAAGCAAAGGCACGAACAACGCCGATAGTCCGAGCAGTCATAAAGTAGGAGTGGGAAACTATGCTCCTAAGACAGCAGTTAGCGCACAAGCACCTCTAAGCACCAACATGCACCAACAAAACAGCGTGGATGACAGGTAGTGGTGCATAAAGGGGCCTGGCAGACGGATCCCCGCAACAATCCCTACAGAACCCCTTATTCAGACCCTGAACCACTTTGGCTCGAACAGCGTGGATGATAGGAAATGGTGCGAAAGGGGACTGGCAGATGGGTCGCCTTAACAACCCTACAGTTTTCCCCAAATTCATACCTATCTTCCCTCCCTCACGCCCCCACCCTAGCCTCCAAACTAGTTTCCCACCTCCTGCCCCACTCTCCCCTACAAAGCACCAGCACGTAAACTCGGTGTTCCTTAGTCTTACCCTACATGTTTCCTATCGATTCACTATAATAATTCCTGTACCTCAAAAAAACACTAAATCATGAACCTCAAACCCTGTAGTAGATTTGATTTCCTTTTCCGTTTGATTCTTATAGATCCCAAACCTGTAGTAGCTTCTATTTCATTTTCTTGGGCGGCACTCCTGGACCCTATATAAGCCCCAACAGAACTCCTTTAAAGGAACACAGGACTTCCATGATCTTTTCCATTTGATTCTCCACTACTGGGGCCATAACCCTAAACCCTCCCAAATTATTTCCCTAAACCCTAAACCCTAGTCATCTCCATAAACCCTCAACCCTAAACCCTCTCTAGCCAGCCTAAGCAACGTGGAAAGCTCCGCAACCCTGAACCCAAACCCCATCCAACATGGAACCCCTAAACCCTTAACCCTGAACCCTAAATCCTGAACCCTAAACCCTGGACCGCAAACCCTAAACCCTAAACCCTAAACCTTATATATCCCCATTATAGTAGTTTCCATTTTCTTTTCCATTATCCCTCGATAAACCTACACCCTAAACCCTAAACCCTAAACCCCCAAAAGTAGGGCCCCACCTCCCCAAACTTCCGCTGGAGGCCCGAGCCAATGCCCAGGAACTTCGTGTTGCCGGGCCTAGAGCTCCATCCCCTCCCCTGAAAGGGGTATGGGGTTTAGGGGTTTGGGGTGTAGGGTATGGGGTTTAGGGTTTGGGGTGTAGGGCTTGGGGTTTGGGGTATTGAGGGTTTAGGGGTTGAGGTTTAAGGTTCAGGGTTTAGGATTTAGAGTTTAGAGTTTAGAGTTTAGGGTTTCCCCTTAGACCTACAATGAAAGCAATGCTTTAAATGGTTCCTTAGAATTCTACATAATTCTACAATATCAAAAATGAAAATTCCTAGGGGGACTACAGGTAGTTGTTTAGGGTTGAGGGCCTTGGGTCGCCTAGTAGAGGCTTTGGGTCTAGGGCTTAGGGCTTAGGGTTCTGAAATAGGGGCTTGGGTTTCGGTTTGCTATAGCACCCCCCCACCCTTCAAATAATGACTAGGGAGGCAAGGTTGGACGGTGTGGATGTCTTGGGCAGCACATGCAAGGCCCTGGTTCATCTTTGTACGCATATCATATGTATACATCCGCATTGGCATAGATGTGCACACATATACATAGGCATATAACGGTATATACGTACATGTATGTATATATATATATATGTATGTGTGTGTTTGTATATATGTGAACGCATAATTGCTCTCTCTGCTCT